CAGTCGAATTTAAATTCTCGTGCTCCAAAAACAATTATTGACAACTCTAGAAGATATATATTTGATTTTGTTCCAATGCTTGAGTTGGATTTCTATTATCTCATATGCCGCCTCTAACTTTCCCACCACATATTCCACCTATAGTAAGTTGTCGTTGCCAAAGTCTCGCCTCTTCTCTCTTAGTCACTTTTTGTACTTACCATTTTTATCTTCTTTGCATGCTTCCTTCTTATTGTGAAATTTTCGAGGCAGATTGAGACATCATTCTTTTCGTTTACGATCACTTCTTTCGTAATTATTTGATGGATCCCAAAGGTACTTATCATTCAATCGCCTCGGTTAGCCTTATACTTTTTCCACTTCCTTGTGCTGACCCTTTCTTTCTTTAGCAGAAAATTTTGATAGGAAGGTCATTCAACCCAATATGTCTTCAATTCGTCAAAGTGTCATGATGGCTAAGAAGCTTAAGACTTCAACATCTACTTACAAGCGACAGAGAGATCAGTTGAAGAGGACTAGTAATGGGCTGCCAGAATATGACGTCCCTAACAAGGTGGAGCAGTCCCTATTCAAGGAAAAAAGAGAAATTGAGGTTTATGGGGGACTTTTTCTCTTGCCTACTGTGGCGATCAAGCCTTCTCATCAAAAATACCTTTTGGGATTCCTATTGCTCTCTCTTCTCTGACCCCTTCGAAGGTTCCTTCTATAGTGCTTCCAATCTTTACATCAATCACTCTTATCATTTTTGCCCATAGTTGTCTCGAATGACTTGAAGAGGCCTCAACAGTCAAGGCAAAAGAGGCATGATACCGACTTAAATGATAAGAAATGTTGGACGAATGACACGTAGGTTTATAGACATCACCTCTATAGTCCTAGGTTTATATGAAATTTAATGATTCTGAAAAGTGGTTATCCTATCCTTGGTTTGACATGTGAAAAGTAGACTGAGAGACTTCTATTGCAGAGATGTTAAATCAATCAATCATATAGAAGATCTCGTACGGAGGATCTCTTGGATTAGGCGAAGCTATGATGATACCTTGTAAATAAAAGGCTCATCGATTAGGAAAAAAACTACATGAGGTTGTGCAACTCGGCTCAGTCATGGAGGTCGGCCTCTACATTTGCCTCGACTGAGGTAAAGGCATTACTTCAACTTCCTTTTAGGTTGGGACTGACTACTTATATTATGAGTAGGCAGAGTTAAAAATTGTACACAAAAAACTTATTATGTGTACAATTTTAAAAAAAATTAAAAACGGTACTACAAAATAGAAAATTTGGATTAATATGATTAAATTAAATATCACTTGAAGACATACAATTTTGGCATATTTATCTTGCAATCGAAAATAAGCGTCTTTCCAATTCTTTATGCACATTAATGCTTCCAAAATATATTTTTTCAATCGACTTCTAACCTCGAACAAAACCCTCTTAACTGCGCTAAAAGCAGACTCTAAAACTATAGTGCTGACAGGAGGTGTTAGTATGTCTTTTGCAATCGCAGAAACTATTGGCAATCGTCGTTTGTACTTTCACCAGAATTCAATTACTTCTTATAAACTTTTTATAAATTGTTTTGTTATTAGGCATATTATGATTAAAATAATCAATTAATTCAGCACACAATGTATTTGGACTTGCGTCCGATATTTAATTACATACGGTATACATACGACTACTAGAGAAATCTACTGCATTTGCATCGTATCTATACGTGTTAATGTCTTCGAATAAAGTTAATATTTTAGCGTCGTCTTCTTCAATATCAGCGGGAGGAGCAGGAGTAGAGGGTACCCGACTAATATTTACACTCATTCATTCTGCATATATATATTTCACATAAAGTTTGTTTAAAATTTCTATAAGTGATATATGTATTAAAAGTTAAAGCTCTTGAAATCTAATCAATTAAATATTTCGTACCTTGTATCAATGGTCTATGATGCATACTAAAGAAAATAACATAGACAAGTCTTTCCAATATTTTCTAAACTTTAATTCCATGAAATATATAATTGAACTAAAATCGGGATCATTTTTTTATCATGATAAGCCATTGCAATTATATAAAGACTTTCAAGCATCATACAATTAGTGAGATAGTAAACTCCAGATAAAATATTTGTAGAGTTACAAAAAAATTGCCAAAATTTTTTTAATTTTAAAAGTTAAAAGCCAATTAGATTCTTTCAAAATAGTTTCATCATTGTTTCTAATATACCAATTGTTATGAAATTCAGTTATTAAATGTTCAAAATTTTCGCATGATTTTAATGATAAGTAAGTGGAGTTCCGTCTATGCCTTACGTTACTAGCCAATGTTTTCGTATTCATTACCCCAAATTCGGCACAAAATTCCTCAAATACTAGTTTTCTACTAGATGAAATAGTGATATATACTAGTGCATCCCTAATTCTTTGAATTTCATTCTTAATATGTTTGAAACCATATTACAAAATTAAATTAAAAATATGACAGACATAACGAATATGAAACAAATAACCACCGAAATTAGCCTATAGTACTCTACACAATTTATCGATAACTGTCTTATTAACATTAGCGTTGTCGAATGTAAATAAATGAATTTTACTCTAACAGTGATATTTTCTAATAATGTTCATAGTAATGTTATATATATTGCTAACGTTGTGAGAAAACTCAAAATTTTAAAATCAACAATTTTTTTATGCATACACCAAAGTGAGTATATATAATGTGCAGTTGCATCTATATAATCATTTTTATTAACCTCTTCCCATATATTTGAAATTAAAGATATAACATTTCTATATTTTTGCAAATCGTTAATCAATTGTTTCTTTGTAAGGAAATATTCTATTGTATTTGAACGAGAAGTGTTTCGATTTACCCCCAATGTGCCTCGGTTGAAGATATTCTTTCACGTACGAGACAAAATGTTGGTTGTCTGCTATTGCTAGAAGTAACTCGACAGTGGTAACGAACTTCATCATTCCCGTTCAAACTTTCTCTTTCGAATATATCCACATGGAAAGTGGCAAAGAAATAGAACTGGCACATCGACTACAAAATTGCAATTATGTTTGACGAGCAACAAGAAGCCTATGTTTGACCGCATATACTTTGTAGTAACAGTTGGGGTGGGTGGTAGTAATACTTCTTTTGTCATGCCGATCATTGTTAACAGTATTTACATACTGCTTTAGACTCTAGGACTCTATCTACCACATGGCCCGTTGGAATCAATTTAAACTGATCCCAACATCTTGCCTTTTTTCTCCTTTCGCTTCCCTCTTGCATCGAAAATATCTAATTCCTATTCATTTTCATGTTTCGATTCGGGAACATCAACGTCATTTAAATCAATTGAATTACGACTTCCATGAGCAGACAAATTTGGAATATTTTTGGGAACGAGTATTTCGTTCAGACCGAAAAAATCATTCTGAAATTGACTTTGAGGCGTCATAAGTGATTCGCCCCCAATACCGAACAAGCCCTCAACAAATAAGTGTGGATCCATTTGTAAATTGTATGACATGTATAGTAAGTAATTAAGTAAGTAAATAAAGAGTGTAAAAAGTAATCAAGAATTGAAAAAAAGTTGATGAGTAAGACTGTAAGATTGTAATTGTAAATTTCTGATGTGATAATTGATATTAAATAATTGAATAATTGAAATTAAAGGTAGAAATGAAAATGTAGTAGATTGTAGAATGTAGAAGAGACCGAGAGTGAGAGTTATTGGAATGTTGTGTGAAAAAAATTTGGAAATGGGTCAAATTATTTCGACTCGTGCTCGGGCCCGAGCCGCCCACGAGTTGAGCGATCGACCCGACAAGCCGCTTGGCCCATTTGACACCACTAGCAGATCTTAGGTAGCTTCTTATCTGCTGCCACGTAATTAGTGATGGAATGCTCGTAGGATGAGGAGTAATAATATTAATATGACGTTCAAACATAAAATTTGAGCTTGCAAATTCATTCTTTTTGAGATACATCAGAATATATTATCATAAATTATTATTTCCCTAGAAAACAAATATAAACCTCTAACAAGTAATTTACTAAATTATTTGAAAATAAAATTGAACTAAGAAATAATATATATTTGGTAAAACAAGTAAAAAAATTAAATGAATGACTCGGTTTGACTTTTAACAATCGAAAATCTAAACAAAAAAAATTCGTACGATTCTAAAACGTCAAAATCTAAACCACTTTAACTTAACGATTTTAAATTTTAATCCGATTTGACGAACTGATCGTATTTGTATTCACCCTGGCTAATATTTAGAACAAGAAACGAGGATTCTGTAACAGAAATGCTGATTGTATAGCATTTGTTTCACACCATTTTTCACAGCCCCCTCACAAGGGTGGGGTCCACGATTATTTTAATCGCGGGCCCCACCCCTTGCATGTGTGAGGACTGTAAAACTTGTTGTGAAACTTGATGTTGCTGTAGCATCTCTCATTTTGTAATCTTTTGTTCCCCGAGATATAAATTGGAAAAAAGGAAACGAATAATTTAAGAATGAACGCGGGAATTGGAGGCCACCCATAAATTGTGGAAGGTAACGGAATTACCGTTCGTTTTCTCTCTCTCTTCTCTTCTCACAATCTCTTTCTTCCCTTCTTCTGCAGAACAGAGTGGGAAAGGAGGAGAGAGAGGTTAACAAATTTCGAACACAATTGATTCGAAAACGAAGAGTTTTCATAGCAAACATTGGAAAACAGAATTTTATCGATCAAATCATTCATTTCTAGATTTTTTTATGGTTTTTTCTATATTTGAAATGCCCAAAAACTCTACACGTTTAATCGCATCTCAAGCATGCGAGGAGAAAGCCAATAAGGTTTGTTTCTTTTTGTTTTTATAATTTTTTGTTAATTTTGTGGATGATTTTGATTTTTTTGAATGCAGGAGCTATAACAAAGTATATATAAATTGGCTTTGAAGATTTTGATATTCGCGTAATTGATTTTCTCCTCCATTTTTTTATAAATGGGGGGAATATCGGACAATGTCCGGGGACTTGCTTTAGCCATATCATCCAGTGTTTTCATTGGGTCCAGTTTCATCATAAAGAAGAAAGGCCTTCAAAAGGCCGGGGCTAACGGATCTCGAGCAAGTTAATTTTTTTTCTTCTGCATTTGATTTTTTTACCCTTTTGAATCGATTAATTTTATTTGCAGCATTAATATTTTATTTTACCATTAGATATATATGAAAAAATGATAAAGATTTTTCATTTGATTTAGTATTACTGAAAAAAATTGGTATAATTTGGTGAAATAACTGATCATATGTTTTGGCAAATACCGAACTGTTGTCACATGCATTAAAAGTTCAGTTTGGAATATTTTGGGTGGAAGTGATTCCCAACTATTCACATATGACTGTTTGCTAAAAGATTTCACCTTGATGATGTATGGTTAATGTGCTTTGGAGTTTTGTTGGTATTAGCTATATTAGTTTTGTGATTACGATCTTGAAATACTTGCTTCCCCTTGCACTCGTGGAATTTTTTAAATATTGTTGATAATGAATACTTTGCTTAGGCGATGGAGGTCATGCATACCTGCTGGAACCTTGTTGGTGGGCTGGGATGATTACAAGTAAGAAATGTTGCTATCCGATCTTGATCAAATTTGAGCACTAGTCGTCTCTTTTGAACATTTGGTGCATGTTTGGTATACTCTATTAGATGATATTGTATTATACAATGGATAAAATTCTGTAGTCTCTCCCTTTCTATCCCAAACCTATCAAGATAAAACCTCCTCGTAGACTGATTCTCCAGGCTAGTCTTCTATGAAAGTAGCACCCTACTTGGGTTAATTTACATAACTAAAGGGGAAAAGAAAGATTTACATTTCCCAGTACATATGCCCCATGAAATGATCCGTTTTCTTCGGTTAAGACTTTGATCTCTCGCGAGCTAATACATGGATTATATCCAGTGCAGTGATCAATCTCCATGTACAAGAGATAATAGACTGAGTACAGTTCCTCTCCAATTATATTCCTGACCTAAATGGAAATGGAATTCCTAAGTGGGCGATATCCATGTAGTTGTGTACATTTCCTAACTTACTCGACCATCTTCTAATTTGCAGCGCATGACACAAGAGTTAAGTGCTTTGAAGTTTTTCTGAAGATCTGAATAACGTTTTTTTTTTTTTTTCGGAACTTCATTTGAGTTCTTGCTTTTAAGGATGGAACTTCTTTGTCATCAGTTATTATTGCAGAAATATTGATATGTAATTTAACTATGGCATTCGAAATAAAAATGCTTACACTACACTCAAATTAAAACTGGACTTTGTATATAGGTAGAACTTTGCCATACTAATGGCCATCTAGGCTCTGGCCTTATGCGTTTGGAGAAACCGATGAGCTCCAGGCTAGACCAAATCCCTTTATATGCACATTTTCTGAATATTTTCCTATAAAATAATATCCCACGTCGATGCCTACTTCTTTGTTTTCCTTTCTTCCGTTTTATCTTTTGGAGTTCTCTGTATCAAGTGGCTGGTTAATTAATATTTTACAAATTAGAACTTTTATTTGAATATTGATCTTCTCTAATAAAAGGTGACTATAGCAACAGCAATCTGTAGTTGGAAAATTCCATGCTGTTGTGCCTTTGTAAGACTAAAATAAAATAAGAAATTATCATAGTTCTTATTGATGCGCCCAAGAAATCATGATTTTGACTAATGGTTTTCAATAGTTCTAAGGGGATGCATCATTGAGGATTTAATTATTACACATACAGGAAATTCATTGTCTATGCCAACAGTATTGAAGTTGTTCGAATGGTAAGTAGAATATATGCTATCTAACTTGATGGCGTATTTCTATTCTAGCTTGCAGGTACTATCATGTAAATGTTTACCCTGATGGTGGGTCAAACGGCTGTGTATTTTACGAATTTTAGAGACTGTTACAACTGTCATTAAAAACTTCCCATGACACTGGATTCCATCATGGTTTATAACCATTGTTAAAATGCAAATGTCGAGTACTGAATTGAGTGCCTTTGACTGTGGGGAGAAATTGAATGTCTTTTGTTGTTATAAATAACAAAATAATTTTAAGCTTTATTATTTCTTAACATATAAGGGCCGTGTTGTGGTTCTCCACAGATTTGTGTTTCTTTTATAAGGTGCTATTTCCTTACAAGGTGAGACAAATTATGTATTTTATGGTACTTTAGGTCCAACTCCGACTACAAGCCTGGAGAATCTTATCGAATTATTATACTTTTACTTCATTCTATAATATTGACTTAGTCCTATAGTCATATGATAATTAAGATTCTTCTTATTTTAGTTTTAATTCTCCATGTTTTGACAGTGATTGCTGGGGAGGGAGCAAACTTTGCAGCCTATGCATATGCTCCAGCAATCCTTGTCACTCCATTGGGAGCTTTAAGTATCATTTTCAGGTATGGGATCTGGCATCATTGCCCAAATCTTAAAGAAACCTGTTTCTCATTCAAATAATGACAGGAATTTTTTTTCATATTATCTCCTATGCAGTGCAGTGTTAGCCCATTTCGTTTTGGATGAGAGATTGCACATTTTTGGTGTGGTTGGATGTATTCTCTGCCTGGTAGGTTCCACCACTATTGTTTTACATGCTCCGGTGGAGAGGAAAATTGAATCTGTCAAGGAAGTATGGATCCTGGCAACAGAACCAGGTAATAAATGTTTTTCGTTTTTCTCTTATTTTATCACATTGTACTTTCTAATGCATAAACTTCTATAAGTTTTGAAGTACTTACCTATATTGTAAACCTCATGAAATGGATCATAACCGATGCTGTAGTCTTTGAGTACGGAATCAATTTGTGCACGCTACTTCTATGAATCGCGTCATTGTTTTTCTCTCTTTAAACTTATTCGAGATGCATTACTTTTCCATCTGAAGATCTACATCTTTTATTTGAGCTGATCCAACAAGTGGGCTTGGGATTGACAGGTTTTGTTATCTACACTTGCGCAATTTTGATTCTTGTTCTCGTTCTCATTTTTCGGTATGTGCCACGCTATGGACAAACGCATATGGTTTTGTATATTGGGATTTGTTCTCTCATGGGTTCTCTCACGGTTGGTTTATTCTCTCTTTCTTTTATCTGTCCAGTTTAGAGCTCTGTCTATACTCTTATCTATTTTGTCTTTGGTTTCCCTGTTTCTGGTGCAGGTAATGTTTGTTAAAGCAGTAGGGATAGCTTTGAAGCTATCATTTTCAGGAACAAATCAGTTTAAATACTTTGAGACATGGTTTTTTACTTTCTTCGTGATTCTTTGTTGTCTCGTACAGCTGAACTATTTAAACAAGGTAATCAAGAGGATTCATTTGGAAGCACGTTGGCATATGGACCTACGGATACTTGTGTTATTTCATTTTATAAAGAAAGAATCACACTTCTCTATAAACTTTTTGAATTAGAATGTCCGTCTTAGCATCATTGTAGTTATCCACGCAATAACATCCTGACGAATTCAGACTACACTCTCATCTACAATCTTCATCGATGCTTGAGAGAAGAAACAACAGTCATTTTTATCATTGTCTATCTTTTCAGTAGAACTTCAGAAGTATGTTTTTTCACCTCCCACTAGTGGTGAATCCAGTATGAACGTCAGCCTAACAAATATTTGGATCACTACCTTGCTCCTTTCTCTCCCCCTAAAATTAAGACATGTAATATCTAGAAAGAAAGAAAATACATCTATTGATTATAAATTTGAATTTATCGACATATGCCAAATCCCTAGAGAAATATTGATTCCTAAATATGACCACTACCTGGTACCCTTCTACTGCAGAATGCTAAGTCTGGCAATCAAGTCCTTGGCGGATTGTTTGTTTTTCCTCCTCTTTCATTTTTCATTTTCCACTTTGTAGCCTTTTCTATTAGACAGATTAAGATCTAAAGTTATTTTGATAGTTCGTTCTTTATTTGACACTGATTTAATGTGCAAAAACACAGATTGGCTTCTTGAATTTTTCCGATCAACCAGTTGAGAGTTCCTCTTAGAACAATCAATGTCTTATTCTTTTTAATATTTCGTATTCCCTTTCACATTTGTAGTACCCGATCATCTGAAACTAATCCTTGATTCATCTTTGCAGGCACTGGACACATATAATACTGCTGTCGTTTCTCCTGTATATTATGTCATGTTCACAAGCCTCACCATCTTAGCTAGCATGATAATGTTTAAGGTGATTCAAATTCCGTCCTTGTCTTATTCTGAAAATTAAACTTTTTTCTTTCAATAAAGTTCCTTGTGTGCACACTACGAAATATTTGCTATTGAATTAGAAAGCCATCTTGCTCACATATCCCACTCGTATAGTGTGCTTATCTTCTTCAAGATTACGATAGTTTTCACTTAATATTTGCGTACTAAAAAGCATGATATTGTATTGTCCTCTATTTAGAGAGTAATTTTCACGAATTTTAATGTTGTTATTCTCTATATGATAATCTAGTACTGAACCTTGAGGGGTTGCTTAATTGGTCAGGCCTTGGGTTTGCTCCCCAATGGTCATCAGTTCGAATCCCTTCAGAGCCACTGAAATGAGTACCCGGCCGTAAACTTCAGGACCCCGTGGAATTAGTCGAGGTGCGCGCAAGTTGACCCGGATATCCACGGTTATCAAAAAAAAAATGATAATCTACTACTGAATGTTTAGTACTATGCTTCAATAACTCATAGGCCAAAGGAGCAAATTGTCTACTCAAACATTATTATTAGTAGCTTTTATCACTAGTTCTCTTAAGGTTTTATGAGATCTAATTATTGTTTACTTTTGTCCAACAACTTTTCCAACTTCAGGATTGGGATCATCAAGCTGCGTCGCCAATTTTGACAGAATTGTGCGGTTTTGTAGTCATCTTTTGTGGCACTTTCCTCCTTCACAAAACAAAAGACATGGGATCTACCCCAATTGTATCGTCCCCGGTATTTCTATCAAGCAGAGACTCAAGTTCCAGGGAGATCGAGATTTGACACATTAATGCTAATTTTAAGGAAAATCGTGATATTTATTGTGAAAAAGAGAAGATATTTTAGGCTCACGAGGGAATGTTGTCAGTATAAGTAACTTCAACAAGTGCCAATAAAAGGGGGACCATATTCGACATTTTTGAAACCTTTTCATATCTGAGACCACCACTACTCCTGCCCCCATACTAATTACTGCATATTTTAGATTTCGAAAGGTTCAAGTATAGATATCTATATGTCAATACTAACACATTAGAAAAAAATGCTGAAATGCTGGTGGTGGTTGTTATCTTTGTTATTGCTTTCATTCCTTGTGTAGCACAGTCCATCTCGACTAGCGAGATATACAACTTTTCATATGCAATCTTCGACTCTTATGATTAGAGGATTATCTTGGGACTATTTGATTTTGCTGAATATTTTATTGGATTTTGATTCATTGAATTTTCTTTCCACGTGTTAGTTCTTGAATCTTTACATTTGAGTTATTTTATGAGGGAATAAACACAGAAATGCAGAAGACTTGTAGACATATTGGGTGGCATAAAGAGAGAATGCTTTTGGAACAAACTTACTTAGGGATGTCAACGTGGTTCGTCGGCTCCAGCGGTTCGAGAAAACCCTGAGTCGGCCCTGCTCGCAGCTCGGTTCTACACCACGCAGAGGCAGCAGACTGCATCTTTGAATTCCTCTACTTGCAATAAGCACTAATGTTACGGGACTAATTAAAACCTAAATG